TACTGCCACTACCACGTAAAGCATCGGTAGTCGGGTTGGGGGTATTTAGAAGTCTGCATTCATGTAGTAGACGTTTTCGTCTGAGTGGACATAGTAAGTGCTTGAAATGAAATTATTATTACATAAATTGCCGTCACTGCTTTGATTCCTTTGGAAAGTCCGGGAGCAGCCTGCATTACACGTGAAAGCTGCGGGAGATACGTCTGGAGACCAGAACGGCTAAAGGCGGGCCTACACCCATGACACACACGTCACACTAACACGAGTTTGTTTATTTTCATGAATACCATACCTGTCAGATCCCGTAGACAACTTTCTAGCCATATCATAGGAACCACGTTGATTAGTAGGATCCATCGCAATATTAACAACCTGTCCAGGTGTACGACCTGTTCTCAAGAACACTCGAATCAGCGGAAATAAAAGTATCAATAATCGTAGGGGACCTAGATCTGCCGAATACAACAAGTGAACTGGAACTGTTGGAAGCGAGGTCACTTAATAATTGAAAGGAGACTGTGCTTCACAAAATCCTGGATTTGCATCAGAATGGGTTTCTAAAACTGTCGGTGAAAAGCTTCGGACAAGGAATGGCAAAATCTAGTTACACATTTTACAATATCACATACGAACTATACACTGTATCTTTGTAATAATAACACTATTGTCTAAATATCATAACTGTGTTGTCTCAGTCCCTTGATATACCCCTTGACCGTATTCGTGAGTTTAACAGTTCTCACGCCACTGAAAATGTACGCGAGCTCACTGTGGTAGGAGAAACGTGTTAGAACATTATATGATTACATGCATTGGATGGTCAGGATTGTATACATTTTTCGGGAGAAACTACATGGCATATAATACATGTGCACGGTATATGCTAGGGCTCGTTCTGTTGACGTAGTATTGTGCACATTGCAAGGAAAGTGACACGCCTGCCTTCTGAGTGACACAATAAACTACACAGTGATTCGTCTGCCTTCTGAGTACTTGACACTCTGAAAGTATACCGCCAATGTACAAGACGGCAAGCCATGTTTGAGCCCTTGCAGTTACCTTGGCGTCGGTATGGTGAGATATGTAAGATTTAGACAATATAGTATTTATATTTCATCATATATTCCTTATTTCACAGAAATACAGTATAATTAGTTTGATAACCAAGTCAAACATTTTCAGGTAAATTTTGATTGGTATATTTTTCTCAGAAAATTAATTGTTTTAATTTGAAATATACCCCCATGACTCTATTTGAGAGGTCGTTTGTGCTTTGAAAATGTACCTGAAGCACTTGATTTAATGGCTGAATAAGAGAAACTATGTAGATACTATTCTTGCTCAAGATTTGTTTATGTAAAACTGATATTTTTTTTTTCTGTTTTGTTGAAAATAATTACTTTTGAATTTGAAATGTTAATTTCAAGTTTTTGCTGTATGTTTCTAGAGAATTCAGTGCATTTTGTAAACCTGTGTTAGGAACAGAGAAGTAAGTCATCTGCATATAACATACAGGATAGTTGTGATTTCATCAGTAAAAGGGGGTTATTATTAGATTATTCTAAGTGATGTCAATCAAATAAATATTAAACAGAAGTGGACTTATTCCATCATTCTATCTAAGATGATTTCTACTCGCTTTAAACATCTCATTTGTTATGTTGTCAATTCTCATCGATTTCCCGTTTTTCAATCTACTAATTTTGAATTTCCAATTGTGATGTTAAGATGATTTAATTGTGAAGTCATGGATTAATTTTCCGGACTTTTATTTTTATCTTGGATGCGCTTTATGAGATGTATTCAGTTTATTCAGAATGTTTTTCTCGCAGTTCCTTCTCTGTTTTAAAAAGTTGTTTATATGTTTTCTTCACTTTATTCGCTTCAAATATATGTTGATTATTGTATGGCCCATCACTCAATTTAATCGTACAATTTATGAATTTGCTTTTTCAGAGAGCTGAAGTCTTTGTTTGTGAACCATGTTTTTTTTCCTTTTTTGTTTTAATATTTAAATAAAATAAAACGCTTTGTTAAGCTTTTAACGGATATTTAATATAAGTATTTGAAAGCACTGAACATTGTGGGATTTGAATTAAATTGCTCACTACAGAAAGGTTCAAGTAATGAAGTAATGAATTGGCACTGTAGGGCCTTATAAAAGAAAGCTAGAGTCATTCTCCCATGTAAGAAACACGAGGTTTTATCTCATGAGAAATGTTACTGGTTTCGGATGGTGATTTGCACACTAATTGGTGTGTTACTAAGCGACAACTGGCAGTGACCAGACCGCTCCAGATTTAAATCACAATATTGTGCCTTTACTAAAGCTGACAACAGTCTAGTCAAGCAAACTGCTTCCTGTACTTTGATATATCTGACTATTGTGTCTCCAACACATCTGCCATTAAAAATAACACGATCAGATGCAATACATAAATCAATTAATTGACTACCGTATTCTATCTTGAGTACCCATATCCTGCGTTCCCGAGATAAATATATTTATAATACAATATAACACCAGCGGAGTGTGGTTTTTATCTGAATGAATGGAAAGTTTGAAGTTTGCTAATTATTGTCAGACTAAGCTAAAGATTTTTCAATTATATTCAAAAAATTAAAATCACTGATTTTTTTTGGGGGGGGGGTAAATTATCACAGATATTCTATTATGCGAAATTCAGTGAGACTCGATAAACCGAATTCAGTGAGACTCGATAAACCGAATTCAGTGAGACTCGATAAACCGAATTCAGTGAGACTCGATAAACCGAATTCATCATAAACAAAAAAAGAAACACTAGGGATATATAGAATAGGTACCACTTACCACATTACGTCACAATGTTTGGTTTATGGTAATAATATAACCACGATTGGAACAGGAAACGTGAATTATTGTGGTGAATGGTCCAGGTTGCCCTGTGTCGCGTTTCATATGTTAATACATTCATGAGTGTCACGTAGTTACTTGACAATGTCGGTCTCAAATATATTAATAGTTACATGAGAACGTCAAGCTTCCCGCTATTCTCAAGCTAAGCTCAACTATGCGAATGTCCGCGGTTACTTCCACATTCAATTATTTACGTTAGTAGAGTGGTTTACATCGCTGTTCGAACTTAACATTGTTAAGATTTTTTAAGGATGAAAGAACTTTATAAATTATGTGAAAGGCCGATGGACGTCCATACGAATGGACAGACGGACGAATGGACAGACGTACGAATGGACAGACGGACGAATGGACAGACGGACGAATGGACAGACGGAATCAAACTACACTGATTCTTTAGTATGAACATAAAACACGAATGGGTAACAGCTGATTTAACAACAGTGACCCATTGGTGATCCCAAATTAACAAGAGTTACACTGTGTGTTATTACAATGGCAAGAATGAAGTTGTTATTGAAAACATGTGTTCTAGAGGGTTTGTTACTGGTATACATGTGCCGTGACCACGTTTTGGAAACAAACACATCTCGTTATTAAAAGATATAATGTGGATCACTTTGAGAATTCTTTAGCATGTTTAAGTCATTTTGTATGATTTATCGTAAAATAAAAATGTTATTGTATCACGTATCTTTTCCGAATTCCCAATGGGAAGCACGTACAGGTAAGTTCGTATACACACGTATTTGCGTTTTACATCATGTCTTAATGTATGTCTGTATAACTCATTGACTGTATGTCTGTCAGTCATATCTAAGATGGGCACAGACGATTGTGAGATGGATACCCATTTTAATATGTTTAAAGAAGTTGATGATGTCACCGAGCCTTAAAACGAGATGCTACTACTGTAACAATAGCATTTCTGTATACCCTACTCTTTCTGCAACATTCCATACGCATTCACCAACAACTAAGCAGTCAACTATCTAGACTCTCAACTCTTTAGCAATTAAATCAAAGACTATAGAGAAGATTGTCTGTGATTAAATCAAGTTTATTTTGATATATACCTCAAACTTTTGTGACATTTATTAATTTGTGTCACTAATTTGTTGCGGAGTTTCTGCTGTATGCAAGACCCAAGAAACAACCCATATCCACAAATCTCGTGATTTCTATTTTTACCTCCAATACCTCCGGTGGTCGTCGCGCAGCACATGTTCGAATTTCATGTAAATAAACAATGTATTTTACACGCGTTGTACACGTCGCTATGAGTCCCATATCGAACAGGACGCGGCACGACGACTGCCGCCATTTAGGAATATAGTGTCCCCTTCCAGAGTTAGTTAGATTATTAAACACCCACGGTATTCATGGCTGCACATCCTGAGGGTGACACTCACTGAATCATAGTGACACGATGACAAACATTAATGTGACATCGTAAATGAAAACTGCGACTGGAATGAAGTTGCTTCACTAAGATATCCCGTTTAATGGTTTTCAAAAAGGCATCCAGTTTGTGAATAACAAAATATTTTTGAAAGGACCCAGCAGTTGGTCACCCCAATACATGCTATATGTTACGTCACAATTTCACTTCAAACATTTCTACGTTTACTAAACCATCACCTCTTCCCTCAATTAGAATCATGGGAACCCGAGGTCCTTCAACTTGGTAGACGATGCCCCTGCGATCAGCCATACGCATCATATTAAACCCAATTTGGAATAAATTAAACTCCAGTCACTTATAACAAGAAACATCTGATGTCGACTAATCTAAAACAATGGTTTAGCTAATCTAATATCACATGGCGCATCGAATTCCGGCATAATACATTAAATGTTAACACAACTTAACTTGTCTTTTCACTTCGCCGGGATTTTTTAGTAGAAAAAAAACTTTGAATAAATGTAATTGTCTTCAAAAGTCAATGATCGCAATGATTCTACTTACCAGTATGGTAGACATGTGCAAACATCACGACATAGTGACGATAACAGGGTTGGGTAATATCGTGAAAACACTGCCTAAGAGTAGAATGTTGATATCAGAACTATCATGCCATTCTGTATTCCCCAACGGTGACAAGTTTGTATTTATATTCGACCTAATTATGTACTTCGGTTACATCATGTGATAATACGACTCTTATCGAACGGCACGGAGATTTTGACAAAACTTGTTATTCCTTTTTTTATGTTGTGTCTCAATGCACAAATAGTATCCACGTAAGTTAAAAGTGGTGCAACTCAGCGCGATTTCACGTTGAATGCGTTATCGGCATTCCGACTTAAGACATATGGTAATTTTCCACTCCACTTTCTTTTTTTAAAGAAATTGCAGATAAAATCAGCATCCCTCATTCGGTGTGATACTATTACACTACTGAACCAAAAGTTTTTTTTAAGTTCAATAATTACACATAATATGGAATGTTGATTGTGGCGGGACAAAGTGCCCGTTTTCTGGTGGCCCCCGGTGATGACCTGATGGTGGCCCCCGGTGATGACCTGATGGTTGCCCCCGGTGATGACCTGATGATGGCCCCCGGTGATGACCCAAC